TAAAAAGAAAGAAAAATATTTTTTTATATTCTAATTAACATTTCCCTCTTTTTTTAAATCTCTTTTTTCCTCAGTTTCTTCCAGTCATTCGTCTCTCAATTTCTCCATATGTCACTTGTTCATATTGTTTGTTTGACCATTTGATTCTTGAATATCGAACATCTTTTATGAAACATCGTTGGTTGAACGTCGTTGGTTGAACATTGCTAGTAGATTTGCTGCTCGTATTGATCATCCCATTTCTCTTTCAAAATTTTATATATATATATTATTATTTTTTTTACAAAATTTTTATTTATTTATAACAATCATTTTCTATGTCGTAGGTCATATTCTCGCTTTTAAACTTGACTTTGAATTTATGAATTTTGAACTGACTTTGAATTTTCGAATTTTGTTGAACTTGAACTTAAACTTGTTCACTTCTTCCCCCTCTAAATTTTTCCATTTCTTTGTAGTAGAATTTTCATTTGATATTTTATTCGTTGTCTAACCTCAGTCATATCTTTTTCATTGGTTTGTTAGTAGCATGATCATCCCCACATTAGCTTGTTCATCTCGTAATTTATTATCATTTAGTTATCAATGTTTGTAAATATATATTATGATCAATATATCTCAAATAAAATAATTTTGGAATAATTGACATGATAATAGAATAAATAATTTATCAGAATCATTCATAAGAATAAGAATCATAATCATAATTTGGAATAATTGACATGATAATGGAATAAATAATTTATCAGAATCATTCATAAGAATAAGAATCATAATTTGGAATAATTGACATGATAATGGAATAAATAATTTATCAGAATCATACATAAGAATATCATAATTTGGAATATAGAATAATAGAATATTTTTAATTGTCTCATTTTATATTATAATTTTTTATTTATTATTTTTATTTTTAAATTTTACTCCTTTATTTTTCAAATAAACAATTTTTTTATATCATAATTTCTCTTCAACTTGTTCTTTATAAAAAAATTTCTCTTTCTCCTTCCATTTACAACATACGATCTCCATATCGTACTCTTAATCTCTTTTTCAACATCACGATATTTAATCACCTTAATGTTTGTTTTAATTTTCTTTATTTCCAAAGTTTTTTTAAATTTTTTTATAAATTATAAAAATTTTTATTTTATTATTTTCTCTAATTTTTATTTCATTATTGTTTTTCATCACTATTGTTTCATCAATTATTATCATATGATTTATTTCTTTTAATTTATAAGAATTTATTTCTTTTTTAACATTTGGTATTAATTTACATAATTCAATTTTATTCAAGTTTTTATTATCTTTAAAATTTTTATTAGGATAACATATATTATATGATCTAGTTTTTCCATTTATCTCTTTTACCTCTTTATAATCACAAAAATATTTTAATACAGATATTGCTTCTTCATAACTTGAAGCTCCATATATCGGTAACATTGTGTCCATAAGCAAATATAAGTCATCTGCTAAATTAAATGTTAAACTCAAAACATCTTTACTCTCATGGTTTGTTAAATAATTTTCTAATTCATCAATGGATTTTGTTTTATTCTTATTGTCCCAAATAGGTTTTTTCATATTTTAAATATTTTATTATTAAAATTTTATTATATTTATTTTTAATTTTATATTTTAATCATCTCTTACGTGTTTTTAGAATTATATTAGCATCATTTTCCATAATCCTCTTTCTTCTAGCTTCACCATGTTCCAGTATTTATAATCATGTCTAAATTTTTTTTTTTAATACATATTTCAATTTGTAGCGTAATAATTATCTGCCACCATGTTATTTTCTGGGAAGGCAGGTAAAGAAAAAGTAAAAAATATATTTGAAATCTTTCCTTTAATTTATCTTTATTTTTTTTTTATTACTACTGAAGATATTATAAATTTTTATATTCTAATCAACAATTACAGACCTATGTTTTTCATAAAAGTGATAATTCATAAAGCATGGTTTTTAATTTAACAACTCCCTAGAATTATAAATAGTTGTTTATTTTCTAATTTGTCCATTAATAAGAGGGGAATTTTTGATTCATCCACCATCAAATTAAGAAGAAAATTCTAATTCTTTGTCAATCTTGATGATCTTATACAGCTAGTAATCATATAAATGCAAATGTATACTTATGCATAAAAATTACCTTATTAAAAGATATATAATCGTATAAAATTCAAATATTTATTAGATTGTGGGATTGGATTTTGTCTTAAGGGTTTTCGATAATAGAAGGCATAAAGCACTCCTTAATAAATTGTTCTACAGAGTTTTGAGTAAATTTGCATCTTCTCATAACATGGATCCATTCTTCAATAAGATCTTTATTGTAAGATAATATATTTGATAATTTAAACATTGATACTGTTGAAATCGAAATCCTAACCCTCTGATGAAATGGCTAGGCTATATTTCTTAATTTGATAGAATTCCATTTATTTATAATTTATCTAAATCTGAGCCATCTTGACCTTGAGTATACAATGTGAAATATTTATTAAAACAAAATCATCTGTAACATAAATTACCAAATCTTTAACATCTTCTGATGAGGTATCTTGGGTACTATATAAAATCATCACTATTAAAAATCTTTATATATGAAAGGCGTGCCACAGTCACAGTGTCACAATATATAATATATATTTAAAAAATCGCAAATTTTGAAAAGCGTCTTTGGCCTAATCGGCAAGAGCGTCGCTTACAAATCTGATTGCTTTGGGATCTAACCCAGGGTTGCCAGGTCAAAATTTTTAAATTGCGGGAGAGATTTGGTATTATGCGGTAGAAATATGGAAATTGCGGTAGAAATATAAAAATTGCTAAAATAAATTTTTTTGCGGGCCCGGGATTTTAATTAACTTAATTATCCGCCTATTATTTTTTATAATTAGTTTATATAATACAAAGTCTGTAACTATTTTTAAATAAAATAACATCTTGATTAATTAAAATATATTAATTAAAAAAAAACCAATGATCTTTTTTATATATAAAAGAATGTAAACAAGAAAAAATTTTATATAAAAAAAAACGATTTTAATTTTTTAAAAATATATTTTATGCGAATGTCCCGCAAAACGACCGCAATTGGAAATTTACGTGTGTGTGTATAACATTATAGGGATAGGCGCTTAATTATCACGTATCACGTTTAAATACATAATAAAATATTCCAAAAATAAGAAATAATACAGATGCAACTACAGTTTCGGTAATTGTAATTACTTATCTTGTATTACATAATTCACAGGGATACTTATCATTACAATGTTAGTAGAATCTTTTTCCCATAATATTTAACGAACTCTAATATATATAAAAACTATAATTGTAGAACAAAAATGAGCAAGGCTATCATCGATGTTTTAGGACCTAAATCCAGGAGGTCAATTCTTGACGATTTGAAAGATCGGCATACATATGATGCATCTAATAAGGGAAATTTTAAAATATCTCCCTTGATCCTCCGCTATTTCAACAAAATTAAAGTCGTTTCAATAAAACTATTAAATTTTTTCCTCTCAAATAGTGAAAAATTCAAAGACATAGCTAACCATATAATGGTAAATATAACAGATTCGAGATTATCAATAAATGCATGTTAGCTTTCTATGCCTCAGTGAATTTGGTAAAAACAGTGTGTATTTACAGAATCAAGTCAGCACAATGTTGGTTGCGATATGTTCCTAATACCCGCCATCGATAGAATTTTAAAATTTTATAAACCTTTAAAAAAATATTTCTTAAGTAAAGATTATAAAAGCTGTCCTAACATTTAAAAAATTTTTTTCAATAATAAATGGCAGAGGTATATTTAGGAATGTTTTCACATGTATGAAATCTAATACATGCTGTTAATGTGTAGTTGCAATCAGAAGAATCTTAATAAAGATTCATAAAATTATGCTGAAGATGTGTTCATCTTTACAGTTAATAATTGATAATAAATTTTATGGCGCCATTGCTAAAACTTAATTATATTTTATTTGAGATTTAAATAATAGAACTAAATGTTTACCATCGTTATTGAGACATTTATAAAATTCCTGGCATGACATATTATGTATTTGTTTAACCATTAGCTCGGCCTCTAATGTTTTTAAAGCAATCCGATTTCCCTCCTTTTTCCAGGCAGTCCTCATCAGTCTAAAAATGCGCTCGGATGAGGCATTAGAATGAGGTAAGGAGAAGACATACTCGCATATTTTTCCCAAGCATGGGGATTTATCGTTATTACGCAAAAATTCTACCCATTTCTCCTCTGCTTTAAGACCATCTAACTTTAAGTATTTTGGCGAATCATAAAAAATAGAGAGAATTACAATCTCCTCAAAAAAGGCAACAATGTCTTTCGGCATTTTTATTATATTTATTAAATTATAAAAACCATCAATTGATGGTTTCTGTTTCAAGGTCATAATATTTATACATTTGTAAATAGAGTTATTAAAATCAAATTTCGATTGTAAATATTCTAAAATTGTCTAATGAAAATATTGCATCATTTAAAAATGTATTAATTAGAGTATTATTTGAACATTTTAATATAATATTTTTAGCAATAGCGCCATAAAATTTATTATCAATTTTTAACTGTAGAGATGAGCAGAGCTGTAGCATGATTTTGTGAATCTTTTTTAATAAGGAATATTCTGATTGCAACTGAATATTAACTGAATGAAGTAGATTTCCTACATGTGAAACGAATCCCAAATATTCTTCTGATTTTTCAGAATTTTAGGACAGCTTTTAAAATCTCTATTTAATAAGTATTTTTTAAGGGTGTTACCACTAGGGATGTAAGACAGGGAAATTTCCCCTATAGTTTCCCCAATTTTTATAATAGGTTTTTTTGCCTAAATCAACATGATTTTTATAATATTAACAGTTTCTCAATTTTGAAAATTATCTTATGATAAAATAAATACGATTTTTATTTTTATAAAATCATTTTTTCCTCGTGGTTCATATCATAAATTATAATTGTGTTTTGTTTTTGAATTATGTCAATTTCCCTATTTACATTTGCAAAATTTTAGAAGATACTTGTTAAAATTAAATAGCTAGTCTGAAAAGTATATTTATATTATAAATAAATACCAATGAAATTTATAAATAATATATGAAATTTTAAGTTATGTTAATAGAGAATATTTATAGTAATTGAAAATTTTTAGTATTAATTAATGTATTTACAGTCATCTTAGACAGTGAGTTTAAGAGGATTGAACATATAGTCAATGAAAAATTAAGCAAAAGTAAAAATTTGACTCTAATTTATGATGAATGAACAAATATAAGAGGGAAATCCATTATCAACTTTATTCTAGCAACCCCCCTGTCCCATTTTTTATAAATCGATTCACACAGGATCTAACATGCACACTGGTGAATATATATCAAACAAATTTATTAAAGTAATTGAAGAAGTAGGAATTTTAAAAATCAACACCATAATAACTGACAATGCAAGCAATATGAAAAAAGCAAGGGCCCTTGTAAAACTGAAATACCCAACTATTGAATGCATTGGATGTGCCGCTCATGGATTAAATCTACTTGTAAAGGACATAGCAAATAAGATATTATCCATTCAAATTTTAGTCACAAAAGCTAAAAATATTTAAAATCTAACAATATTCTTTTATCAACGTTAAAAGAAAAACAACTAAGAAATAATAATAAAATTGTTTCCCTAAAGTTGCCTAACCCAACTCGTTGGGCAGGTATAGTTTTGATGATAAATAGCTTGTTAAAAAATAAAGATATTTTACAGGAAATGGCTATTCTTGATATATTTACTGATCGAGATAAGAGACTTACTCTTCTTGATAATGATGGGTTTTTAAATGATCTAATGCAACTATATAATTTTATTAAAGTCATATTTACGCAAATAGAGATAGTGGAAGGAGATAAAGCCAATTTATCTGATGTCCCTCAAGCATTTATTCATATCAGGGAGACATTTAACGCTTATAAAACAATATCAAATATATTGTCGCAGAGCGAGATTTTAGAAATAGAGCAGTTTATCAAAAGCCAAAAAATTTTTTGTTGTCGGGACATTCATTATGCTGCTCATATATTTGACCCAAGGTTTTGTGGATTTAATTTAAGAGACAATGAAGTTGCAAAGGGGTTGGATATTATTAACCGATTTTCTGGATATCTAGATTTAAAAATTGCAAGAGTAGTAGGAAACCTATCCAAATATCGTGCAAGGGAAGATTTTTTTTAATATAGCAAGTCTTTGGCAAGGCGCATCATTTACAGATCCAGTGAGTTGGTGGAAAGGTTAAATACTTTTATATTTCTGTAAACAATAACTTAACTCTTTTTCTAATCTTAAAATTGTGTTATTCAATATTTTATTAGGTCTATGTTGCAATCAATACATATCGACCCTAGCCATACAAATTTTATCAATACCACCAACAAGTGCAGCATCCGAAAGAATATGGTCCTCCTTTGGAAATATTCATTCTAAATCTAGAAATAGATTAAAAAATGACAAAGTTCGCAAATTAGTTTATATAAGTCTACATTTTATGGGAAAGGAAATTTCAGAAAATGACAAATTGCTGGATTCCAGAATTTCAAGCTCTGATCTGGAATCATTTTCATCTTCAAACGAAGATAATTAACTATTCAAAATTAATTGTTTAAATATTATTTAGTCTATATATAATATTTCAAATAAAACATGTAAAGTAATTGCAAATTAGTTGAAAATAATTTATATTTGTTTAATTATATGTTTATAATCTATATATTTTCAATAAAACATAAAAAAAATCAATATTGACCTGTAAAGTATTATAAAAAAGATAGTTTCCCGTTTTTTCCCTATTTTCCCATTATTTCCCGTTTTTTCCCTAAATTTCTAAAGGAAATTTCCCCGAAATATAGTTTCCCGGGAAATTTACATCCCTAGTTACCACTGCTTATATAGGATTGTAATTTATTTGTCGAAGCTAGTGGGAGAGACTTAATGCAAATAAGGAACCTAGTATTAAATAAAATTAATATATAAATATTTAATAATTTCGGTTAATAATCTTACGAATGTTATAATTCCTTATATGTGTAATCAACTTGTCGAAGGTTGTAGTAGAGACCGTAACAACTTTAATTTCTTCAATTTAAAATAACAACTCTAATTTTCTTCAATACAAAAAAAACTAAGTACTGATTTTATTAAAAATTATTCCATTTATAAACATCTTTTTAATATTTAAAAATTACAAGTATAATGAAAATTCATAAAAAAATAATGAAAATTACAAGAATTCATAAACATGATTAAAATTACCAGTCTATAAAAAAAATAATTTCCTTGACTACATATTCAAATTAATATTTAACCCTCGTCGATTTATAATAAAAATTACAAATATTTAAATTACAAGTATGTATTCAAATACACGAATACAACAAAGGGATTGTAAAATTTTAAAATTATATCGATGGCAGGTATTAATGACAACCACCTGATAGGTATATATCGCAACAACTCACACCATTCCAAGTAAGACCACTTCACCAACTCTTTTAATTTATTAACTCTTTTAGTTGATGAACTAAATTCGTTAAAACATTTCATCACAATTATTTCGACATCCACAGATAGTACATTCATTGCCTTCTTGTAAGAATTATGTAGTATATGGCATATACAGCCAATTGGTATTAATTCATTATTGTGCTGCCTCAATTCGGTAACTTTGGTTTTTGCCAAAATTCACAGAGGCATTATAAGCGCAGAAAGCTGACATGCAAATCATTGATAACCCTAAATCAGCTATATTTACCATTATGTGGCTAGCTACATTGTTGGAATTTTCACTATCCGAGGAAAAATTTTTAACAGTTTTATTGAAATGTTCTTATTCTTATTGAAATAGAGAAGGATCGCGGGAAATGTTTTAATATTTCCCTAATTAGATGCATCTGTTAGAATTGCTAATGGATGCCCATCTTTCAAATCGTCTAGAATTGATCTCTAGGATTAAGGTAATACTTGTGATAGCCTTTCTCATTTTTGTCCTGCACAATTAAGGTTTGCACTTATATTGGAGTCGTTAAATATCATGAGAAAAAGATTCGACCCACATTGTGATGATATAGCTTGAATGTTGAACTACATGGTAGATGTATACGATTTCCGCAAATGTAGTTGCATTTGTATTATTTACTATTTTTGAGAATATTTTTGTATTGCAATCGATGTAGATTTACTCCACTGTACTGACTTATATGAATGAAATATTTATTCTTGGATAAAAATAAAACAGGATAGAAAAATATTTTCAAACTGACATGTTTTTTGAATAAATATTTAAAATTTATTTTAAAAATGAAAAATAATCAATTAATGTCTCTCAAAATTATTATTTATATATTAAAAACGTTAAAATACTATGCGGGAGAAATTAAAAAATTGCGGTAGATTTTTGCGGGAGAAAGATGTCTGCGTGTAAACTAAAAAATTGCAGGCGTCTCCCGCTGATGGGGGGAGACATGGCAACCCTGGTCACAATACGGAAAAATGTTATGTTTCAGTTAAAATAAAAGAAAATGTACAAAAGGTAAGGTGTTCAAATTGTGGAAGAACAGGACATACCTTGGATAAATGCATTAGAAGAGAACAAACAGGTATCAATGCGTTTCCAACGGTAGCGTTTCCACTAGTTAAAAATGGATTACCAGGAACGAATATTAAAAATGAATATAATAATGTAATACCTAAAGAAACGAAAAATAAAGAAATAATGCTCAAGTAATCACTTGTTTCCGATGTAGAAATATTGGACATTATGCGCGAGATTGTCCTATAGTATGACTGTATGATAGTGAAAAAACAACATTTGGGGTTATTACATCGAAAAACCCATTAAATCAAAGAAAGAATTAATACCGAAAAATACATTAAATTCTAAAAATGAATTGGGATTCAAAATAAAGAAAGAGGTAAGTAATAATGATTTAGTTATTATGAAAAATAAGGTAAATGAGCCGCCCAAGTTAAACGTTCAAATTTGTAATATACCAATTTTAGTAAAAAAAAAATAGTAATTATGATGAATGTCCGCGTGTGAAAATTAATGTGGAAAATAAAGAAATTACAATGTTATTGGATACAGGAGCTACTATATCGGTCATGGAATGTAAGGAATTTTATAAATTATGGCCTAATAAGCAACTAATAAATGATAGTAAAACAATTAAATGGAACGGAAATTGTAGTTTTGGGAAGGGTAAATTTACCAGTATTAATTAAAGCACAGTGTATTTTTTGGATCTTTGGATACTAAGGAAGAAATTGGTGTTATTATGGGGTGGGCTTGGATATCAAAATTTGGGTTAGAGAATAATTTTTGAGATATGTTTCAAGTAAAAAACAAAGTTAATGAAAATATTGAAATACCGAAAATGTCCTTAGAGGAGTTAGATATTAGAAATATAGAAAATAAATTGGTAAAAAATATGGTTTCAGAAAATATTGGAATTGAAAATTTGATAAATAATAATCAGGAAATAAGAAAAATTCATAATTCGGAATTATTGTTTCAAAAACTGAGAATGATTATAAAAATTTAGAAATTGAAAAGGAAATAAGGAGAAATCAAATTAGAATGTAATGAGCGAAATGTACGGGATGGAGAAATCGTTTGTGTGGAAAATAAAGTTCAGATATATGATAAAATTGAAAATTTAGTAGATAATATTTTGGAAATTACGGAAAATGTAAAAGCAATAAGTGGGGAAACTAATCAGGGTGTTCCTGAAATTGTAAATATTAAATGTGACGAAAATTATATTAATGAAATGGATAAAATTTTGGATTTGAAAATCGATAATGTTTTGGAAGCTAATGTTGAGGATTTTAAGTTGGAAATTCACAATAAGGTATTTGAAGAAGAATCCAAGTTAGAAAATAGTTATATAAAATGTGATGAAATGTATAAAGAATCAAATTTGAAGCAGGAAAAATTGTCTGTATCACTAAAATTCCCGGCGAAATTTGTAAGAAAAAAAAATGGAAAACGAAGATTTGTTAAAGGAAAAAGGGTCACATGAAAATTTGTAAAAATTATGAAATACGGTGATAAATTTAGGGGTTAAATATGAAAAAATTTTTGAGGAAAAATTAGGATGTTTGGTGGATTATGAAGTAGATATACGTTTAAAAGAGGGATATATACCACAGTATTGTGCAGTTCGCAGAGTACCTTTCGAATGGAGGGCCGAAATGAAAAATGAATTAAATAATTGGTTACGAGATGGAATTATTTGCCCTTTTGGATATAGTGAATGGGCAACACCATTGGTTCCGGTGCGGAAGGCCAATGGAAAGTTGAGAATTTGTGCGGATTTTCGTGTTACTCTAAATCCATGGGTAGTTGAAATAAAATACCCGTTACCAAGAATTGAGGAAATTTTAGCGAATTTAAGAGGGGCAAAATATTTTTATAAAATAGATTTTTCATGTGCATATTTACAATTACCTATGAAAGAATGTACAAGGAGATTGTTGACAATAACAACGTTTTAAGGATTATTTACTTTTTGTCGGTTACCGTTTGGGTTAAGTATTACAGCCTCGATTTTTCAGCGCACTATGGCGGTAGTTTTTCAGGGTTTGGAAGGAATTTTTTATTATATGGATGATGTTTTAGTGACGGGAGTAACGGTTGAGCAACACAATCAGAGATTGGAGGAAGTTTTCATAAGAATCAGAGATAAGGCTTTAAAAGCAAGTCGTGAAAAGAGTGTTATAGGAGTAACTGAAGTTACATATTTGGGACATAAAATAAATGGGACCGAAATAAGGTCCTTAGATAAAAACTTAATGAGTATTGCGAATATGAATAAACCTACTACGAAAACGGAGGTAAAATCATTTTTGGGTATGGTAAATTATTATCATCGTTTTATAGAGGATTTTGCTAAATTGGCTGAAATTATATGAATTATTAAATAAAAATGTACATTTTGAATGGAAAAATGAACAAGAATTGGCGTTTATAGCATTGAAATTGAAAGTGGGAAAGGAACCCATTTTGATATGTTTTAATAATGAATTAGAAGTAATTTTAGCGGTCGACGCATCCAATAAAGGTGTGGATGGAGCATTGTTACATTTAATGGATGGAATTGAGAGGCCTGTATTGTTTTTTCGAGAGTATTTCGGAATGTAGAAACACGGTATTCGGTGATTGAACAAGAGGCATTAGCTGTTTTTCGGTCTTAAAAAATGTCAAAATTATTTAATTGGTAGGAAATTTGTGGTATACACGGATCATAAACCGTTGATTTATTTATTCAAGAAGGACAATAGAGAATTGATGATATCACCTAGACTTCAACGGTGGTTATTATTAGTGGGAAGTTATGATTTGGAATTAAGGTATAGGCAAGGAAAAAAAAATCATTTACCAGATATTTTGTCGAGATTGGGAGTTGGTGAAGAGACAGATGAGGAACTGTCAGGTCAAGATAGGAAAGGTGAAGCGGCCTTAATTTGTACTTTAACTTGTGGTTTAAGGGGCGGTCCCACCACATGGGAGGATATTAGAAATTATACGTTAAAAGATAAGAAAATGAAATTATTAAAATTGCAAATAATGGGGAAAGAGCCATGGGATGTCGGTGAGGTCAAATTTCAAATGTAATTAAACTGAGTTAACTGTGGTAGACGGTTGCATTATGGGTGAGAATAGAGCAGTTATACCGAGTCAACTGAGAGACAAAGTTCTGAAAATATTATACGCGGGACATCAAGGGATTTCGCGAATGAAAGAGTGGGGAAGGGAATATGTTTGGTGGCTTGGAATGAATGGGGAAAGTGGGAAAAAATTGTGAAGTCTGTAATGCATGGGCAAACATGCCGTGTCGGGATAAGAAAAGTGTTTGATCGAAAGTAAATAGAGCTTGGGAAAGAGTGCAAATGGATTTTTTTGAGTGTAATGATAAAAAATTTATTTTAAGTGTAGATGCTTTTTCAAAGTGGATTGAATTTGAAGAGGTACATGGTTTAACTACTGGAATTGTTATTAAACATTTGAAGAAATTATGGTCTAGATTCGGCATTCCGAAGTGGGTGGTTTCAGATGGTGGTCTGGGGTTCGTGTGTGAAATTTTCGGGAGTTTTTGTTTGAGAAATAATATGCAACATATGCTGGCACCATCGTATCACCCTAGTTCTAACGGAAAGGCAGAAAGATTGGTGCAGTTGTTAAGTGTTAGTTGAGAAAGGCCAAGGAAGGCAAAGAAGAAATTTGGATTGCTTATTTATATTATAATAATGGGGTATAGGAAGGGATGGTAAATCTCCTTCAAAAAAAATGTTGGGAAGGAAAACTAATACTTTTTTAGATATGTTGAAACCTATTTCGAGAATGTTAGAAATTGAAAATATATAAATATAGTTAATCAAATGGTCAGGATTAGGATTTATGGGAGTGGTAAAAAATGAGAAAAGGGGATAATTATAGAAAATTTTGGTAATAATTTGTGTAAAATAAGATTGGAAGATATGACGGAAGTGCGTCGCCATAGAGATCGGTTAAAATGTCATGAATTTAGTTGATAGGTAAATACGCTGGGTTAAATTTTCTTTTTGGTGTTGGGATAGGTCAATAATGTAAAAATAATAATAATAAATATATATATATGGGATTATTGAAATTGAATTGGTATGTATATTTTCAGGGTTATTTTGCAAATGTAAATGGTTTTCTTAGTAAACTACTTTACTTCGAATTTATTCGATTAGAATTAATAAGTGGATCTTAAAATAAACTTGTTAAAATCAGTATAGTTGTAAAATATACGAGGGAATATAAAAAGGAATTCATTAATAAAAAGTAATATATGGGGGTTGTTTAAAATAAATTTAGTTTATATGTTAAATTTAATGATTTTTAAATAATAGAAGGTTATACAAAAAAAGGGGGAAAAAGGAAAGTATGTTATAGAGAGAAATATATTTTTGGAATTGAGGTTAGTGTAAATGTTAAGATTTAAATAAATGAGTTCACACATAAATCAAAGAAAATCCAAATAGCAAAATTGGAAATATTTTTGGGATCATGCATAAATCAAAGAAAATACAAATAGAAAAATTAAAAATATTTTTGGGATCGAGGTTAAGTTTGATTTAAAAGAAAAAATATAGTAAAAATAAAAATAAAAAATAGGGTATTTATTAATTGGGGTATAGAAGTAAATTTATTTAAGCGATTTTATGAAAAGAAATTGAAAAGAGGATAGAAATAAAAAAAAATTTATTTTAAGGAAGGTTAACAAAATCATTTATTAAAAAAAAATTTTTTTATTTCTAAATAAAATAATTTAATTTTAAAGAAAGTTTTGGTTTTTTATTTCTAAATAAAATAATTTAATTTTAAAGAAAGTTTTGGTTTTTTATTTCTAAATAAAATAATTTAATTTTAAAGAAAGTTTTGGTTTTTTATTTCTAAATAAAATAATTTAATTTTAAAGAAAATTTTGGGTTTAAATAAAATTTCTAAAAATAATAAAAATTATGATGACCTTCTACATACGCACGCCACAATCCATAATACAAGTGAATCAGGCTAATTTAGGGAGTCCATTGGCTGATGCCTGGTTAGATAGGTGGTTAAACAGCAACAAGGCATAGTTACACCCAAGCCTCAATTTTCAATAAATGGACGAGGGGCTTCATACACATTACCTACTTATAGCGCAATTATGATGGGAGAAGAAAATGATTTGACTCAGTATTCGATGATGAGAGAACAATCACGAACACCTTTAGCAATATCGTTTTCTATGTGGTAGACTGGGGCATAAAATAGTAGACTGTCGGGCAAATTATGGATCGTTACCGAGAAAAAGGATATGGGGAGTTCAGAGTTTCATGGCAAAGGGAATTGTTTCAAATCCTAATACGAGCAACTTCATGAGACAGGTACCAGGGGAACCTAGAACGATTTTTTATACAGGATCTGTAGTAAATAATCATCTTATAACGTCAAAGGCAGAAGCGTCATTAAGAGAAATATAAAAGATAGAGGACATCCTATTGGCAAACCCTGAGGATGAAAATTTAGGAATTAAGCCCATAATTCATTCCAAATGAAAGGGTGAGATGTTGTGAATAATTATAATTAATTTTTTTTAATTTCGTTTTTCGAAAATTATTTTTTTCATAAAGAAATAAAATTATTTTTTTTATATTTTTTTTAAAATTTATAAAAATGTTTTCTAAATTGGAATTATTATTTTTTTTGTGTGAAAAAATTTTAAAATAAAAGAATAAAAAAATGCTTTGCATAATAATTTGTATTTAGTTAACTGTTTGATCTGATCAGTAGTCGCAATTTTTATTGTTCCCTCAAATTCTCATAGCATTAATCGTAACTGCATCTTTTATAGGAACCAGTGTATGCCATCCTTAGTGAATTCCGTTATTAGTTTAACCAAAAGGTGCGATTTGCTAATAAATCAGATCCATTAAATTGGCAAAATTTCTTGATAAAATATTATAATGTTTGCCAATATTTAGTGTTACTAATCTTGAAGAATCATCTACGAGTAAAATACAGCCATAATATTTAATGATTTAGAACCGGCTAGAGTCTAGCATTCTTTAAAATATTGAATACCTTCACATTTTAGTTATTGTCAAATTTTAGCACACTATATAAATATAATTTTGGAATGAGAATTGAAGGTTAATGATGCTTGGTACCTTAAGGTACCATCTATCAAATTTGAATTTTGTTCATTTTTCATTTGGATAGGCACTACCAAATATATTTATAATATATATTTGAAAAATCGTGATTTTTGGAAAGCCTCTATGACCTAGTAGGCAAGAGCTTGGCTTGCTTATCCTATGTTTCAGGGTTCGAATCCCGGGAATGATCATGTTTTTTTTCTTATTCTAACTTGGTGGTTCCATCCTTGGGGGGGATGATATATAGAAGGCCGGACTCAACCACGTGATTCTGTATTAATATATTAAATAATAAGGGTCTTATTACATTTTAATATATTTTGGTCGGTATTTAGCAAATTAGATTGGTATTTAAAATATTTCCATACATTCACTTGGTAGTAATAGTAAGCATCATTAACCAGAATTGAAGGAGTTACGCGAACATATGTGGTAATCCTCTACCAGAAATGATATCAGAAATATTTAAGAAAACAGATAAAGGATAGATGTCAAATATGTAGTTTAATATTTGATTTGTGTTTTATTATTTAATCTATTAGAATTGACAAATTGTTTAACTTACTAGAAAATGGAACATCAGTTTTTATAAGAGATTCTGCAGCTAGGCAAATAGGAATTTATTTTAAACAAAATCCAAATGATATTAAAAGAATATTATCGCAAGTTTACATTGAAAATATATTATAAATATTTTTTTAATAGCAACATATTTTAAGAAAATACAAAACAATCTATTAATTTGTTTAAAATCATATAAACAAATAATATCAGTTTTTTAATGATTATCTAGATTAAAATATAGTTTAACCATAATAAAGATTTTTTTAGAAGGTTATAACAGACTTCATTATTTATTTTTTTAAACATTTTATTTTCAAATCAATATTAAAAAAGATTAGATAAATTTTTGATTATAAATATTAACATACCATATTTATAAAAAAAATATATATTTAAAGAGAGAACTTAAATTTTTTTTAGATTTTGTAATTATGATTATGAATTAATTAATATCCTCAAGTCAATGTTTAAATTTATGAAATTGCTTGGACACATATCCATTTAGTAGTAAAACATCACATATTTCAATAAATAAGATCAAAACTTTTAAATATATACCAATACTTTATCTCTATTATATCCTTATATATTTAAGAATTATTTGATAGCTTTAATTTCCTTTATTTACTTATTTAATCCTCCAAGTATTTCGTTTTCTATTTCCCTCTTACCACCAATGCCTCTGCCTTTTCTTTAGCTTATAATCTGGGAAAATTTTCAAATAAAAATGAATATAAATAAAACATTTTATAAAATGTATTTTAAATATAAATATCAAATACATATAAAAATTTTTTAAAAGAGTATTTAATCACAAAGATTTTTTTTATAACATTACTATCAATTTTTATTATATCATTTTCTAAATTATCATATGAAAAATTCATGTTATTATATTTTTTTCTGTCGGAGTACAAAGAAATAATATATTTATTGTACAAGCATATCACATAAATTATGTTATGGCAAATATCCTTAATTGTACAGTTTTATAAATAAATTTGAGTAAAATTCAGTGATGATGTGTGAAATTTACTACCACTGGCATAATTGCACAATTAAATAAATTATATTGTCCATGCAGAAAAGATAGAATTATATTTAAAAAAAAGGATTTTTATAATTTTATTTATTTAACATATGCTACATGTCTTAATTAAATAATTTATTACTCCTGACTCATCATTGTTAAAAAAAATTATAAATATTTTATTATATTTTCAAGATTAAGATAACTCAGTGAAACTGGAATCTATATATTTTTCTAAGTCTATACTTTATGTCATTATCTTCCTCAAAGAAAATATCCTTGATTTCATTTTCATATACTCATTTTAAAAATAAAATAGCATTAACTAACTACATAAAATATTTTTTTTTAGCTAACCTGGGTTACAAATGTAATATTTAAAAAATAAGTTATGGATTTACTTTTAAATTCAATTGAAATCAATATATGTATTTCCTTTTTTATAATCATTCATTGACAGGAATTATTTTTTATAATAAAAGATAAAAAAAGTATTTACATTTGTAATCATCTGAAATTGTAATAACAAATACAAGATACTTTTTATTATAAAACATAAATACTTTTTAAAATATACAAATATTAAAAGTAATATTTTAAATACAAATATTTGCATTTTTTATTTTAAAAAAAAATTAATATAATATCAAAAAAATATATAATGTACAGTATATATATGTGTTGTGTTGGTATAAATATTATAATAGTTATATTTTCGGAAATTATATTTTAAAATGAGAGCCTCAAGATTTACTGGCAATAAACTTATATGATATAGACTATGTATTAGATGTCTGCATTGCCCTTTAGAATAAAGTTTTGATCTGGTCTGGGCAACATTTTTTTATTTGGGTCAGGCACATAAAATTAATAGGTTGGATTGGGCAAAAAAAATATTAAGCTAGATTATTGATGGTAGAAGTGATAATCCATAAAGTGTAGTGTTTTTTTTGATTTAGCCACTCCCAAATATTATAAATAGTTGTTTATTTAATGTTCAACTACATATATTTTAGGTTAGGCTTCTTAAAATTTTCTTTATTTTTTATATAAATTTCCATAACTCAGATGCTATCTTGAAATAAATTTATAATAAAAAGTGAAAAATTAAATATATAAATCGTTGTTTATTTCAACTACATTTATTTTGGGTTAGGCTCCTGAAAATTTTCTTTATTTTTTATATAAATTTCCATAACGCAGATGGGCCATTCCACGTCAAATCGATCACGATTCGACCGACCCCTTTTAAAATTGTTAAAAATTTCTGGAATTATTTAGAAGGGTAAATAAATGAGAAAGCCGTTTATTTTAGCTCTCTAGCACACATGGTTCTCGAGATATAGGGGCTCATAGGTACAAAAAAGAGCCACTTTGGAATCTGTAAAATTTTTAAAAAGCTTATATCTCAAGAACTATTTATAGTAAAAAGATATATAATATATCATATTGTAGGTAAAAATAATCTCTAAAAGGCTATCAAAAAATAATAAAAATTGGCGCCAATTTGAATCTTTAACTTCCGGTTTATCTATAATGCTTTACCTGTATTTTTAAGCAAAAAAGGGAGTTTGTTTTCGAAATTTTTTTATTGCTTTTTATTTAGACACCTTTTATAAATATATATACGATGTCAAAACTTTGGCGACGCTATCGACTCCAAAAATTTAAAAAAATAATAGATGGCGCTTTATGAAATTACGGATTTTGGTTAAAATTTTGCTGCAAACTTATCAATAAACGGATATTTTCACTTTTTATACTAAAAATATTTTAAATTTCTATTAAATATACTAAATAAATTGAGGGGCAGTGTGGGTAAATGCCCATTAGACACTTAATAATGTAATATATTTCCAATAATAAAATCTTTTGTATAATTTTTTTATTATTCATTCATATTAATAATATAGAAATATAGAAATAGAGATAGACAATCATATTCATTCCATAATTTAAAATTTGTGAAATGTTATATTTAATATTTGCGATTCTGTTGAATTAGAATAAAATTTTGTTTCAATTTTATCCTGAGAAATTGGATAAAAAGCATGAAATTTTTGCGTCCCTGGTATGGTACGGGCTTTGTCGAATCTCTCTTTTAAAATTATTTGTTCTTTCTCATATTCATCTTCCATAATATAGGAGAACTCTATTCCTTAATAAAAAAATTATAATATATATATTAATAAATTATAAATCATATACCTTTTATATTTTCCTTACAATAGGCAAAAAACTCTTTAGGAGAAGTTATTTGTTCTGAAGTAGGTCTTTGTAAACTTGCTCTAGCCACTAAAGGCTTGACGGTACCTCCGACCCCGTCACAAGCTGATTTGCCATGAGATGTAGCCCAGAAATGCCACTCAGCTTTCATCTCGAAATAATATTCATGGTGGCAAAGATTGATTAAATTTTTCCGATTTTTATATTGAGCTGCTGCTCCATCTGAAAAATAGAAGAATTTTTTTGGCAGGCATTGAAATTTCTTTGTTAAGTATTGAACTAAATATTTTTGGAATATATGAACCGCAATTGTATTATGAACGAGAGATTCAGATATTATTACGAAACTTAAATGATTTAAATTATTAAGTGACTTGTAATAAATGACAAAAGGATGAATGGTAACTTGAGATTTATTCCAGTGAAACCCCTGTACTTCATCTTGAACCACAAAGGCATAATTTTCAGCAAAATCTGCCTGCACGATATATTCTCCTTCCTTTAAATTAATTTTAAGAGAATTCATGAATATTGTTTGCTGCTTTGTTATGAATGAGTGTAATAGTAAAATATTTAGCTTTTCGAAAAGCGTTTCTAAAAAATTAAAGGTTGATGAAGTGATAGTTAAAAGATCTGTACGATCTGTTGTTACCCATTGCTTGTAGGTAATATATTCGATATCAATTGAATATAATATTTCACTTATCATGGCCTTTAAATTAGAAGATCCAGGGCATTGAGCACAATCACCAAAAAAACATTTTGGTAATGCTGGATTACAAATTATTTTTGGTAATATATCCTTATATGTAATCTTAATTAAATCTTCATTTAAAGTAATTTTGGGCAAACTCAACAGCATTAATTTTGTGTTTTGATGAATGGAGCAAACACATATTGAATGGGTACCACTACTGCCAACAAATACACAATTCTCGGGACGAAGATCACAAAATTTAGAGAATCCAATTTTAATATTTGAATGAATATCTTTAAATTTAAGATATAGCTCTCGTAAATTAATTAAAATTAATCTTTTTTGGACTTGAATCTTTTCACTGTTCTTTATTATGGTTACAAAACCCCTTTTCCCAGGCATCGATCTACTATATTGATCATTGTTATAAAAAGATTTGACAATATCAACGGTGGCGGCATCTATTGTTTTGCCGGGTTTAGGATTAGGTGTTGAAAAAAACCCCTTTTCTTTTATTAAATTTTTAGATTTTATCGCCATATGATATGAAATATTGAATTCTTCTATAATTCTTCTTACTGTCCAATTTGATGGTAATAATGTTAATAATCTATATTTGTTTGTTATCGAAAGCTGTGGGAAATTGATTTTTAAGGTATTGAGAATTTCATCGAATTTCTCATCATTTGATGAAGATAATGGTATAATTTTAGTCGCTAAAACTTTTTTCACGCTAGATATTTTTTTCTTTGGATATTTCTTTTCACGTAAGCGTTTTATTTTAATGGGATATTCCCCAATTGATTGTAGGGATATATTAATGTTTTCAATTGCCTCTTGATTAACTATATGAGGAGGAGAATCAATATCATTGTCATTATAAGGAAGCTTTGCTAATTTTTGTCGGCATGAAGAGCATATTAGCATATTTAAATTGATTGGTAAATTTTTTTTGGTCATCCAAGGTTGAATCTTTCTTAGATTTTTGCTATAATATGCATGTTTTTGTAAATTAAATGGGTTACAACATCTTGATATTTTAATATTTGGTATATCCATCTTTTATATAGAATAAAATTTTATTTAATTTGAACCTAGAATATGGCTTGTTTAAAATTAATCTGATCGGAAAAAAAATATTAAACAGAA